TGAACTTATCTTTTGATCCAAGCGGTCAAAATTTGCAATTGTTTCTTAAACTTACCATTCCTACATTCCCATGCGACCATTTCTTCCGTCAATCTAAATACTACAACTAGTGTTCAAATTCCCCTTGTCGATTTCATCATAAGAAATAACCTGTGTCACCCAAGCTTTGACTTGGATGTGAAGTACGAATCACATAACACAACTACTTCATCTTCGAGACAATATCACGCTGGTTTTTTTTATTTTCTGATCGACAAGACCGGCGATCACGGAGCGATCGCCATGTTTACCTCAAAAACGGACCTCTGACCAGCCGCTAAGTGAAAACAGTACGGCTCAGTGGCTAGGGATAGGGTGTTGGGTGGGTGCAGGCAGATTATCAGATTTTTGGGAACATTCGAATATATTCATTTAAGTATCATAATATGCATTACGATTCTCAATCTTTGTGCAAAAGCATGCTTTGTGTTGCAGATCTAAACAACTTTTGTTTTGCTTGGTATTCTTTTTTTCTTTCAAGTACATTTAGTTCCAAATAGGATCGGCACCAGTTCATAGCTTTATAAACCAATCTTTACCATGTAAATAAATGTGTTCATATAATCGAGGTAACCATTGGACCTCTTGTATCGCATCAGTAGTAAAGTTTCTTGTCTTTGCTCAACTCCGAGAGCGTGGAGTCAAGCTTCTCGCGGCTTCATCATTCTCACAGGATACGAGTAACCTCACTACATTTAAGATAAATAAGAAACTGCTTGCAGTCTGTATTCCGTTTAAACATTTCATAGCAGTGACGCGAGTATCTTCAATTGAGTGAAAAAGTCACAAACCTATTCTTTACCTCACGAGCGTAACCACAAACCACTCATGCATTGCTCCCTTGGCGCGGAAATTGAAATCGTATCGAGTATACAAAGTTAAAGTGGGTTCCTTTAGATCTCCCGAGCTCGTATCGCGTTGGAAACAATTACAAGTACAGGAAGAAGTCTTAAAATCTGCTCGATAAATTTTTGTCATGCTTTCTGAGAAGTTAAAGAATTTCGGGAGATTTCCTACAAAGAAATAAAAATGGTAGTTTTTCAGATAATTTACAGTAACTGAAAATCTGAGTGTCTGTTTGACGACCTTACGTCTTGCCATGGTAGCCGATATGACATCACAAGTACCCTTAAAGTAATATAGTTGCAAAGATGTTTATAGTTTGCCCACACTATTAAAGCTCTTTTTTTGTAACCTTTCATTGTTTCACAAACACTACGGCAACGGAAAACCTTTCCGAGTCTCCTTAAACATCGTTGTTGTTCAACCACACCTGAATTGTTTTTTAACAAAGAACGCTTGCGTCCCATGCATTTGCCAACTGCTTGTTTTGATGACATTCAAGCCACTCCTCATAAACTTCATGACCGTCGAGGACCCCAGGTCAGTGGTCAGCGGAGATGGTTTGCTTCGAATCTCAGCACGAAAATTTCAAACTGTCCAACGAAACAATGGAGAAAATATCCCAAGGAAAATTCCAGCCACTGAAGGTCCCGTTAACGAAACGGTGGGAAGTTGCAACGCCTAATGCGAAAGAAAACTGTCTCAAAACAGCCGAGATTTGTCCGTTGGCATGCAGTGTAATCCCTTTAAATGATCCGGACAAGCTCTACGAGGCCCTGGTAACTGCAACAGAGCAACGGAGTTCACACGACATACTTACATTAACAACTGCATACAAAGAATGTACCGACAAAGAATCTAAAAATTCAAATTCTTAGCCTGTATGTTCTGAGCCTGAAGAGCTAAGGAAACTTTAGGAGCCTTTCGAGAAGCTAAGGGATCGGCGAATAAAGAGAGCTATTTTACTGTTTCCATGCTTAAGGAGATCTGTAATTTCTACAAGTTACCATTTAACTCTAAAGATTCCAAAGCTGTTCTTATGTCAAAAATCAAGGAAATGACCCATGAATGCCAGTGCTCAGTGGAAGGATAGTTACACCATGAAGCAGTGATGTAATGGACCTTGTTGCTGTGTATAATAGCTACCATTTTGCTAAAACAAAGTATATGTATATATTTAGCGTGGTACACACACACACAAAAAAAGCAGTTTACTTGTAAAAAACCTTTTTTTTTGTATCCTTACATACTTATAAAGAATTGTAGAGGGTAACTGAAATGAGAAAGAAAAGGTGTCCTGCATAGCAGTCTTTCAAGTTTCTTTTGAGGCAACAGGGAGTCGCGTAAAGGCATGGGGCGAAAGTAACCAAAGAATTAGGAGCCGGGGAAGGAGCTTATGTAGCCGGCCTTTTAATGCCTGTGTATTTACAAGCGTGATACACCAAAAAATTGGTTTACTTATAAAACTCTTCGACTGTCTTTGACGTTATCGTATGAAAAAAAAATAAAATGTACAGTAAAATTGAAAATGGAAAGAAGAGGGTTTAGTGATAAAAGGTCAGATCGAATAAAGGTAAGAGCTGGAACTAACATAGTTCACTTGACAATTTCATGTCGAGCTTATAAGTGGAAAACAATAAAGATTGTACAGTGCTAGTATTATTAACACCATACGTAAATGACATTGGTTACTGTTACGGAAAATCATATTTTACAGTCAGCTTTGTATAAAGCAATGATTTTGCATACATTCTTGGGAACAGCAAAAATTACTTAGAACAAACATTCTAAGTACAGTGTTCATTCCGTGCAAAGGGGCATAAATACACCTTACTTATACCACAGAAGACAAGCAAAAAGTAACATGTGTACCCCGGTTAAAAATACATCGATAACTGTATTAATTACTACCAGTTCTAATTTAAAGGAAAAAGTTATGACAATAAAATAAAAGAAGTCTGTACCACGAAGCATGCCTTCACTGTTTAGACTGAGAGTCCTAAAGTTTTTTGAGCATGTATTCGAATAACACATGACGGTAAGCCCCCACCCACCCCACCCCGCGCCGTTCTGGTTTCACTTAGAGGCTGGTCAGCGGTCCGTATATAAGGTAAACATGGCGATCGCTCCCTGAACACCGTTCTTGTCGATCAGAAAATCAAAATACCAGCAAGGTATTGTTTCGAAGATGAAGCAGTTGTGTTATTTGATTCGTACTTCACATTCGAGTCGAAGCTTGGGTGGCACAGGTTATTTCTTAAGGTGGACTGACGAGAGGAATTTGAACACTAGTTGTAGTGTTTGATTTGTTGGAAGAAATGGTTGCATGGGGATGTAGGAATGGTAGGTTTAACGAATAATTTCAAATTTTACTGCTTGAATTAAAAGAAAAGTTCATTTTAATTGCTTCCGTATGTAGTTTTGACGGTTTTAGATCTACCTGCTCGATTTATATCTGCAACGCTTCGTGTTGATAAGTCCCTTAAAATGGCGGCCAAAGTTGGATACTGCCGAAAATCAGGTAAGTTCGTGGATTTATAAAGTTTTCGCAAGGGTCGGACCGCAAAGTTTTTTTCTGTAGTGACCTTTTCTATGGCATCTACTTCCTGGCTATGTTAGCTGGATCAGTTAAGAACGCCTCACGTTTTCAAAAATTTACCTTGAATTTGATCGGTTTTCGCGTGTGTGACTTAAGCGAACCAATAAAGTGTCATTAAAGTCTTCCTGTTCCTTAGTTGAAGTGTGATGTTCACGAAGGTCACCTCAACGGATAAGATAGAGTTAATATACATGGCTGTGGTATTTTTTTTTTTTTTTTTTTTGCTGAGTTCCGTATTTTTTCTTTTTTTTTTAATTGTCCTCCAAAGTTGTCTCAAATGAAGTCTTGAAAAGTGTCACGACAGGCCATCGCTCGAGTGAAATTTAATTTCCGTAAAATTCTGAAAAATAAAGAGATCCGATCAAACGGATTGTGGTTTTAGTATAGGCACATGAATGTCTTACAACACACAAGAAATGAGGGAAATCTGTGTCTCCAGCAAAATCGGCCGGACCGCTTTTACAGAGACACTCTCTTAAAGCAGAAAATGGAGCTACGTTATTGGTGGGAGCATGGCAACGAGAAAAACAAGAATAAATTAGTGGAATGAAAAGCGTTCGTTGATCCCTGTGGGATTTAGACTGCTGGTTTGAAAGATGAGCTTTTGTTCAAGATTTTTACGGCTTTCCGTGCCACTTAAGTGTAAGGAACGACCGCAGATTGCCATATGTTGCTTAGAATAATTGCGTAAATTAAAATGCCTAGCGACTGGTTTCGATGTGTCCTTGTCATTCTTTCCACGTCTCGAAGGTGTTCTCGGAGTCGGTCACCTAGTCTTCTGCCTGTTTCGCCGATGTATATCTTTTTGCAATAAGTGCAAGTTATGCAATAGATTACATTGGCGGAGGTGCACGTGAAGTGATCAGTGATCTTAATGGATCGTTTAGGTCCCGATATTTTCTCAGTGTTGTGAATGAAAGGACACATTTTGCATCGTGCACGAGCGCATTTAAAAGTGCCTGGTTGGTCATTAGTCTGAAAAGAACTTCTGACCAAATAATTGCCTATGTTTTTGTCGCGTTTGAATGAAATGAGCGGAGGCTGCGAAGATAGTGCTTGTCTCTGGATCGTTTTGAGGTAATTTAAAGTTTTTAAGAATGATGGATTTAACTGAGTGGTTGTGAGGGTGAAACGTGAGAGAATGGAATGCGGTCGGAATCTTCCTTATGCGACGTTTGTAGTGCTGAATGTCGATCAATAAGTTGAGCGCGGTGGTAACCCGCTTGAACGACAGAAACAGGGTACCCACGATTATCGAAAAACTGGCACATTGACTGTGATTTGTGGTGGAAATCAGAGTCATCACTACATAAACGGCGGAGTCTTAGAAACTGAGAAAAAGGAATGGAATTCTTAACGTGGCAATTCTTTACTGGCAAATATTGAATAGAAAGACCAGTGAAGGCGTGGAAATACTTAAGTGAAGGAGGTTTGCAATCTAGTGGGTTGCCGTGGTAACAGTATCGCAGGCTATTGACGTGGCTACAAATATATTAAATAACAGTCTGAAAAACTCATACTTACTTTACATTCTTTGATAAAATCGTAAATCGCTTGATTGATCTTGATAGCTTTGAGGCGGTATAATTTTAAATATCATAAGAAAAGGTGACAAATGTACAAATAATAAAAAGAAACATGTATAACATCCAGCTAGTAGCTTATAACTTTCATTTGTAAGAAAGAATCCCTCTAAATTAACTTTGATGTAATGATTCTCTAAAATCACATTTGATGACTAAGATTATTCATTATTTTTACTTATCAGCAAATTGTAAAAATCTTTACCTCTGGAATTTAAAGAAGTTGAAAAAAGGTAAACGTTTTTTTCCTCGTCGTGCAAGCTACTTCTTAATGTTTCAAAATAGCATCGACTGGGCATATGTAGATTTTAGCCATGTAGACTTTAGCAAGCGCAAAAAGACTATGTTTAAGTCTAGATGTCGTCATTTTTCTTATCAGCATATTGCAAAATGTTTTCCGTAGAAAGTGCTCCTCTGTGTTTTGAAACAGCATCAATTGGGCAGATGTAAATTTTATCATTGTAGATTTTAAACACACGCATAAATCACTAAGATATAATAAAACTGAAATAAAGGATATTTTGGTTTAATTTCAACGGCTAGCGAACTAATTTTTGAATTGTAGCAGTTTTAAACCATGGTTCATAAAGTATTATACACCAAAACAATGGATAGGACGTCAAATAGGATCAACGTCACAATATATATATGCAAATTATTGCTCTTGATGTCAGGATGCGAGCGAAGCACTTAACGATGGTGTTTCCCCGGCGGAATTCATTCAAATTCGATCAAATGAAGGCCACGTTATCTAATCAGCTAATCACAATCATTGCAAAAGCATTGTAGAGGCGAATCTTACATAACTGATCATCTCCGGAGGCGTCCAATTAGAACACACGAGAATCATTATTCGTTTATGGGGCGTTCACTTATTCCTCGGAAAGTTTTAGAAAAAGTCCACTGGTCTAATTTTCATTTGAGTTGATGTGGGAGCGCTATCCTTGGCGCTGTTTCCAACTAGATATCCCCAGTGGATCTTTGGCCCGATCTCATTTCCACAACGCAGATAAATAGCGTTGAGATTTGACAACAAAGTACAAGTACTGTTACCATACCACCAGCCTCCGCTTCTTTTTTGATCGCAATCTGCAGGATTTCTATCCAAGGTACCAAAAACGAAATCTCTGTGATAACCGAGGGGATCAGAAGAATTAGTCGCATCTGTTCCAAAAAAAGAAAAAGAAAAGTAAGGAAGTAGCATGATTCCAAGATCGAGATAGTGCCTTGGAACCTAAAGATTAATTTCTGACGTAAAACAAACAAGCAAACAAACAGAAACAGCAGAACTGTAATAATAAAATAAAAAAAGCAAAAAAAGGGCTTTGATGTTTAGATGTTTATTCGTAAATAATGAAAAAAGACTGCAAAACGGACTTATTGTCCCTGGAACATTCCTTGCTAGAAAGATTAGCCAAGCAACGATCGCAAAAATTTTAAGACGGAATCCTTCGATTGAAGGAACAGTGCACCTTCGGCGACATAACAGTTGAGAGACTGAGAGGAAGAACACTTTTTGTCGTAAGGCTTTGAATGATTAATTAGTGGAAGATGGATCAAGGCTGATCTCGATGTACTTGTACTCTAACAGTACCAGTGCTATTATTGAAACAGAAGAGGGGCTATTCTTGGAATAGGGCACTTTCTGCAATGAAGGTGCCTATACAGTAGGAGTGCTTATTATAATAAGGATGCTTATTAACAAAAACAAGTTCGAAGGCCTTATGGGCAATGCTTACAATTGATTAAGTTTTATTTCACGAGGTAGGAAAAAAAATCGACATTTTGATAAAAGCTCGCAAGTAGGGTAACTAGTCAAATTATGGTATTTTGCAGGAGCCGAGTTCAACAACTGTTTAGTCGCCTACAGCCTCGGATGGAAGCCGTCCGCTGAGGAGCGTGGGCTCAACTGTGGATGGGCAGAATTGACAGCAAAACATAGTTAAACAGTGACACGTAAGGAAAAAAAACATTGTTTGCTGGTTAGGTGGGGGTAAGGGTGGCTAGGGTTGGAGGGGGAGGGGCTCCTAGACGGTATAAGGGAAGTAATACATGATATGTAAATCGCACGATCGATGGTAAAAAAAAAAAAAAAACGGTTTAATTACCTGTAATATTGCTAATGTACAGCCGGTACTCTGCCATCTCGGTCCCAATCCCGAACCAGTCATACTCAGCGTGAACAGTTTTACCAGTAACTACTCCCAGATCTACTCGAAGCTTGTTATATGTCTTGTTTCGCGTCAGGCGGTTTATCTTGTCCAGGCCAAGCCAAAATTCACCGACCAAGTTACCAAAGCCATGTTTGTAGTCATTCCAAGTGCGGTTAAAATCAACGGAGCCATCTAATCTCTTCTGAAACACTGCCCACCCCCCACCGGCTGTTGTTTGGTCACAATATACATTAAAGGCACCTGAACCATCTGGATCGATTGTGTAAACGCCGCTGACTCTTCGGCCGGATTTGTACAGCTCAGCACAGTTCTTAGCTAAACAAAAAAAAAAAAAATAATAACAATTTAAATGAATAAACGGTAATAAAAGTATAAACCCACATGACCTTAAAGAATCTTACTTACAACTCGCCAATTTTTTGTTCCCCATGAGAATGTTAACCTCATATCGAACTTGAGTGATTTTCTTGATTATTTCTTCCAAGCAGACTGCAGTGTTCTTTGTGCAATCTATTGGGGCTGCACGCGTTGATGGTTTTATTTGAAAAGTCACATGAAGTGCAAGAAATAGCATAACAGAACCTAAAGGAAAAGAAATCTGATTAGACGGTGAAAGTTACTCCCTGGAGTTGATCTAGGTGTAGTAATGATGGCACATGAAGGTGGAAGTAGCTAGGTAGAGGATAGCAGATGAATGAAGATGAAAATGGAGATAACTGAAAGAGGATAAAGGACAATGAACGTAGATAAGGGTGGATGAAGATAGAAGAGGGTAAATGACGGTCTTTGAAGGTAGGGGATGGGAAATGAATTTCAGAAAAATGGCGAATCAAGGTAGATGGCGAAAATTAAGGTAGACGAGGGTAGATTAAGGTAGAAGGGAAGATGACTGTAGACAAAGGTAAATGTATTTCATTAACGGTATCTGAAGGGTAAATCAAGGTAAGTAAATAGAGGATATTACATTGCCGCGCGGGATAAGAAATTTAATAGTCGAGTGCTGAAAGTATCTCTCACGAGTGAGCAGCCATGTAATGTTCTGTTTATTGTATAGATACTGATGAAATATCCACACAAAACACAGCTTTTTTTTCATTTTCGAAACAGCAACTGGGTAATTATGTTGGTAACCATGGCCACACCAATATCCTCACACGTGAAAGATAAAAATAATATCTTCACTCCGCGCGGTGAAGATATGATTTTTTAGTAAAAGGATAAATCCTGGTATTTCATCAGTATCCATATAATAAAGTAGATAAAAGTAGCTGAAGACATATGAGGGAAGATGAGGATGACTGAAGGTTAATGAAGGCAAATTAATTAACGTAAATGAACTTCAAGGTAGATGAATGTAGATGAAGGTAAATGAAGGTAAACGGACGCGAATGAATGTAGATGAAAGTAAATTTATTTAATATAAATGAAGGTGGATGTGAGTAGAAGTATAGGATGGTAGAAGGAAGTATGTGAACATAAATAAGCGTAAATGAACATAGATAAATAAATATGAGGGTAAATGAATGGAGATGTGGGTATATGAATATATGGGTATAGGAAAATGAATATGTACTTAATATAAATATATAAATTATAGACCAGGACTCCTTCTGGGTATATGCGAGAGATGTTTCTCGCTCCGCCTATATGTTTCTGAAACACAGGCTTTTGAGCACTTTGCATGGTTCTAGCATCTGAAATCTTTATAAATGCCTATCGCTCGAATCAAGGTCATATACTCATTTCGCTCGACCGAGAAGGTCACTCCGATTGTTTATTTCTTGGAAACGTAGACGCTTTCTTAGAACTATATAATGATGCGCCTGAGAAGAGAGAGGGAAGAAGAATGAAGGATGGTAGATTATCAAGCCCAGTGGCAAAGAGGGAACTAATCTTTAGTGCGGATTTTACCGTCCCCTGTACTGCATAGTACTTTGAGCCACATCAGATAGTGAAACAGAATGAGTGTAGTTCTCCGTTGGAGAGATGAAAAGGGGAGCAGAAAGCGCAATTGAGAGGAAAAAAAGGAAGGAGTTCGAAGCCCGTTTCTTTAGCAAAAATGCAGAAGTAATTCCTTAAATCCAACTGCACCAAAACCCTCCAGGTTACAAAACGAGGATTTCAGGGCCATAGCCATCATCTATTTTGTAGCAACATTCATAAATGCAAGTATATCCTTCAAAATGAAAGAGGACTGGAAAGGGCTAAAACATGGCATTTAATTTGTTTTAACACATTAAGAAATTCGGCAAAAAGGACGATAGAACAGCACTATACTCCCATGATACTTGTTAGTGGAGCCATTTTAAAAAAGCTGACTATATAAGTTAATTTAGCTTGCCACTGACCCGACATTGACTTGCCACTCCCAATGCAAAAGCGAACTACAAATAAAACTGACATAGGCTCACTTCTGGCGTGCACTGCAGGCGCCTTATTCGAGCGAGTTAATTAATGTTACGTTATTCAACCGGCCATGTTTGAATTACGCCACCGTGCGATGGTAGAAGCAAAAAGAAACTGCTGAACGCTGAACGGCAAAAATTGTGCCTACAAAGCAGGCTAGCTCACTTGAATCAAACGATTAAAAAAGCCGATTTTGGGACTCGGAAGTCGAATTGTACAGAACACAGTAGAAAACGAGGTTATAGGAAATCACTTGCGTTAAGGTTCGACTTTCCTAGATAAGCAGAATGTGCTTTATCCAAACCAGCATCGAAAACCATTACGAAATGTCAAGAGTTCAACATCGGTCCCTTGCCAATTGATGCTACAGAGAACGCTTTTCGAGAGGTCTTGAATTACGAAAAATTAAGTCTTGCTTGTAGATCCTCATGGTATAACACATTTCCTACATCTGTTTGCCTCTTAACGTTGAAAAGCTCTCGCATTAAATGACATTATGTTCCGTAAAAAGCCCTATATTTTAAAAATTAAGAATTTGGTGAAGCGCAGTGCTTACGGAAGTTCATAGACACAGCAAATTGTACAGCAAAAAGCCTTATGTCACGTACCTTTTCCTTATTGATTAAAACTCACTGTTATCTTATTTAGGTATAATTCGTTGTATGTATGCAGCCATACGCAACCGAAAAGAAAATGACAAACTCTGCAGAAATCGAGATGGCAAGCTTTTTATAGACTAACAGGACGCCATCTATCTGACACTGAGGATGCGTGCTCATATGTTTTCTGCGAATACTTTCTTGTCTCTGGCTAGTGACCCTAAACTCCTGCATCATCGGAGACGCCAGTAATGGTATAAATATTACCGAGGATGACAATGCCGATATCTTCTTGAAATGCTATTGTAAAATATCTAAGAGATTACATAAATGTTAAGACCGTTTTGATGTCATGTCAGATCTTTCGCAACACTCGCAAAAAGATTTCACATACAAATGCGAAAGCAAAAGAGAATTTTGTGCAAATTTTGATTTTGAGTTTGGCTATCTCAACCCATCTGAGCCCGAGGGAACAATAGCAAAAGAAAAAAAAGAACTTCAGCACTTTGCTTGGCTCGATGATCGTCAGCTGGAAGACCTAGTCGAGGGAATTCAAGGGAACTGCGTCTCGGGTTCGCATAACCTTATCAAAGTCTTCCAACCCTTCTAGTCTTAAGGTACGTGAGGCTATGTAAACACAGAATGAGTCCTCTATTGATAACATTATTGGTAATTAACTCCTTCTCAGAAAGGCCATATGTGTTTTGCGTTCTCAGAAGCTTTTTAAAATTATAGCAAGCCATTCGAGGAAAAAATCTCTGCTTCATACCATAACTAAAAATTGATGAATTGACTTACTTGCGCGCGTGCTCCTCTCCGATCGCTATAACGAACTATCAGTTTTTTATCCGGCGACGTGAAAGCACGGCCGCCGCGGGTGATTATCTAACCCGATTCAATTAGCTTGCACAATTATGAAAAAAGAGCGAATGTTTTCCAACTTGATTACTTGTCTTGACCTTTGCGCCTTTAAACGGACAAGGTACCCAAGTTTGATTCTAGAGAGGTGCCTTTAACGGATGAGGCACTCACGTTTTATTCCAGAGGGATGTCCGTGGAATAGTTTTTCTAAAGAAACGTCACTCCTAACCATTTGATTTTTATATTTGATGTACGTCATACCAGAATCGTATCACGGCGCAGCAGTGTATAAAATCAAATGGACTGCAGTGGCAGTTAGAAGACAGTGACATCATCAGTCAATTAATGAATCAATCCGATCGATTTATCGATATATCCATCACTACTTAAATTTCCGACATAAAGATATAACGAGTACTCATGACAGAGCTAGTAAGTCGCATGATTAAATTTGATTGCGCGAGCATGCGTCATAATGCTAACTTGCAGGCTTACAGCGTCAGCCAGCAAGGGGTTCGAGACTGACACTTTCCTACGCGATTTATTGCAAAGTCTCTGTCCAGCTTGGCTACGAATTTTGCGAGGAAAAAAAACATATCTTTAACTTAGGGGCTCTAAATGAAAAACAAAGTTATGGAAATATATTCGATTTAGAAAGTAATGAAAAACGACGAAAAGAGCTCTTGATTTATCAATACTAAAATTTCCAAACGCAATACCAATGGTTTAAAGTGAGACATGAAGCGGTTCGCTGACTTGAGTGGGGCTTGACGATTGGAGACCATTCTTTGGCCCGGTAAATATAATTTTTAAACGTTGATTTGTCTTTTAGGTATTGTGCAACAAAATACTTTGACGTATATAAGAACGATCCTTCGCAGTAATTAAAAGCACTATTTGAGCAATAGTGGAAATCAGACCTGAAAAAAATTTCAGGCCTGTACGGGATTCGAACCACTGACCTCTGCGATACTAGTGCAGCGCTCTACCAATTGAGCTAACAAGCCAACTGGGAGCAGGCCATCAAATTAATTCGATATAAACCCGTAGATGATAAATCAAACAACAACAAACATATGAAACATATGTGTGAACTGCGGTTATGAGACGTATATGAGAACGATCCTTCGCAGTAAAGCACTATTTGAGCAATAGTGAAAATCAGACCTGAAAAAAATTTCAGGCCTGTACGGGATTCGAACCACTGACCTCTGCGATACTAGTGCAGCGCTCTACCAATTGAGCTAACAAGCCAACTGGGAGCAGGCCATCAAATTAATTCGATATAAACCCGTAGATGATAAATCAAACAACAACAAACATATGAAACATATGTGTGAACTGCGGTTATGAGACGTATATGAGAACGATCCTTCGCAGTAAAGCACTATTTGAGCAATAGTGAAAATCAGACCTGAAAAAAATTTCAGGCCTGTACGGGATTCGAACCACTGACCTCTGCGATACTAGTGCAGCGCTCTACCAATTGAGCTAACAAGCCAACTGGGAGCAGGCCATCAAATTAATTCGATATAAACCCGTAGATGATAAATCAAACAACAACAAACATATGAAACATATGTGTGAACTGCGGTTATGAGACGTATATGAGAACGATCCTTCGCAGTAAAGCACTATTTGAGCAATAGTGAAAATCAGACCTGAAAAAAATTTCAGGCCTGTACGGGATTCGAACCACTGACCTCTGCGATACTA